GAGCACATGTGAGTATGAATGCTTTGCCGACAGCTTGCTGCTATATTAGCTTCCACAAGACCTTTCAAAGACTTTGCATTCCACCAACTGATCTCTTTGGTGTCTAGTGGATTGGACGGTGGTCCATCAGGGACAGGGGGGGTATACAGTCATTAACTCTATGCCCCTCCTGGAATCCCTGCGGAGGGGAGACGACGAATTGGATGGGTTTTCAATCTAAATACAAGAAGAGATCTGGAAGAGATTTTTCAGATTGCCAGCAGCGCCCAGTATCCCATAGGGATATGATGATCGATCCAGTGCTTCAAGCACTGTCCCTTCCGCTGGCCGACCAGCAATTCCAGTCCCTTCCGGTAAGTTCCCTCCCCCTTCCTAGACCTACATGGTTCACAGTACAGTTCTGACCTATCTCCAGGACGTTGCGGCCACAGAGTGTGTCATCAACAAGGTCAATTCCTTAGCTACTGCGGAAGATACCGAGGACACCCAGATGGCTGGAACCGGCGAAGAGGTTGAGGAGGAGGACGAGGACGAGGAGAACTATTACCTCTTCGTTCCGCCTCGCCATCCTCGCATGCGCTAGGCTCTCTCTCATTTTACACCTCTTCGGAGGTTGCCAGCGCCATCAAGGCTTCTGCTGCGTGCCTGCCCAGGGAGGGTTCTACTTTCTACTTTTTGCTTTCTGCTTCTACTGCTACCTCTTCCTCTTCTCCTTTTTTTACACCTCTGCGGAGGTTGCGTGTATGTACCTCCTATTATATATTTTCCGGCGCTGCGCGCTACGTGGCCTGGGAGGGAGGCGTTCGGCGTCAATGTACTCGTCAAATCAAAAGAATCTCTTCTGCATCGCCGGGAAATACAAAGGCCTTGAAAGAAATGACCTCCATAATACTTCTATCCATATCCACTTACGGATAATATTCGCGTCGATGAGATGAGGCTTCTGAAATCAGACGGGATGGAAACTCATTTCAAGGGTGTTATCCTGTATTTCTTGACAGGATGTTCGATAAGGTATTCTTGTGAGACATCCAGTAGGCAAGTCCCCCCTATCGATCTGATGCGCGACGTAAACAATTGAAGCACAAAGGCAAAAGACCGGAACAGAATAATCCCCCCCCCCCAACGCCCCCTTAAACACCTAATAAACTCGCCACAGGGTCTTCACATCAAAGAGCTTTCATGTACGAGGAGAGCCCAGCAGTGCCTACGCGTCGTTGAGCTCCTCCATCGCCTTCTTCAAGATAGCCACCTTGATCCGCTTCGCCGTATTGCGAAAGTCGACCTCCATCTGCTCGCGAACCGCATTGTTGACGCGGGTGATTTTCTTGACGCGGTTGGCGCGGACATCCGTCTTGAGGTGTTTCATGTTCTGCTCCTGCGAGACGGAGAGCAGGCCATCCAGGCTGCAGCGCAAGGTCTCCATCTGGCTGTTGACCACGCGGGTGAGGGCGGAGGCGAAGGCCAAGACGTTGGGGTCGGGGACTCTGACGGCGGCGTCCTCGTCATCATCCGAGATGCACATCTCCATCTGCTCGCCCTCGTCATCCTCCATGAGCTCGTCTTCTTCGCTCTCGTCCTCCTCGCCGTCGTGGTCGGAGCCCTCGTGTTGGCTGTCATCGTCTATGACTATGACCTCGGGTTGTTCGTCGACGGCCATGACCTCGTGCTCCTCATCGATGCTCTCCTTCCTAACTTCATATGTATCGCCCATAACATCATCGGCTTTGTCCATCTCAGGCTTGTCCATGTTCTTATCTTGACCCTGATTCTAAGACACAGAACAGTTAGCTTCTAGTCAAACTCAAGGCTCAAGCCCTCGATCGCAGGAGGAGTCTCTCTCGACAAGTGGCCACAGGGCTACTCTGGACGGGAGTAGGGCCCGCCCATGGTCACCAGAGATACCGCCCGAGCCGCGCTTCCTGGCCCTCTGCAAGCTCACCTCGAGCTCCGGAAAGTAAGCGGGATCAAAGAGCATATCTTTAATGGCACGGAAGTTGAACGTCAGAGCTGCGAAGACGTGGTCGGGAAGAAAGGAGAAGCCGGGTTCATGCACGAACTCCTCAGCGTTCGGCGCCATCAATCCTGGAGTGGCGAGAAGTCAACACAATATCCAAGCTTAGTGAGGCTGTTGGGGTGGGGGGGGGGGTTCCGCAGTCGGAGACCCCGTCCTCGGGGAGCGGCATCGATAACTTACTTGAGTGTTTCCTCGTGTCTTCGGTGGTGAATGGCTGTTTCGGTTCAATCTCCTCTCAAAGGGGCAGGCCGGACGTGGTTGTTTGAAGGCGTCGCGGAGTGCTGCGAGGGAAAGTCAACAAAGCTCTACCGGCACCTCGCGCGGACAGTCTCGAGGCTTCTTACTGTGGCTTTGTTATCAGATCGAGTGTGTTCCCCGGAGTTGGAGACTACAGGAAACCGGAGTTGTAGTCGAGTTGTACTCGATGATGTAGCAGTGGTGGGTTCTTCTACGGGTGGCTGTCGTTTTTCGAAGGTGATAGTAGTGTCGGAGAGGGAGGAGGTACTGGCGGCTTCGTCTCTGGACTAGCGCCGTCACTCGACGGCAACGGACGCTAGAGCACAGCAGCTTTGTCGTCGGGAGCTCGCCGGCAATGGAATCAATGTCAGAGCTGCCCGTAGGTATACTCTTGGTCACGCAGGATCTAATACTCCGAAGAGTGTCTCATTGATGATCATCGAGCCGCAGCATCGCTGTAGTGCCTCTTCCAGGTATTTGAACTTAATGGTTTTCATCGGAGCGGATACTTGACGTTCAGAGCCGGGAATTCTCCTTTACATTAGAGAGAATAGTAGGATGTTATATCCAGGCATATTTCTGCGCCGCTTCAGTCCAAAGACACGTCCACGAGGATGGATGCAAGTAAATAAGCTGCATGACCAAAGAGGAAGGAAGTCGCACATCACCTCTGTTTCTCCCAAAAATATATATATATATATACCATGAGCAGCTCCGACAGATGAGGCAGGCATACTGGAATCAGTGCTTACTTATACGTCTGAAGTATTCGATCCATTTCCTCTGCATCAGCAAACAGCAAAGCCGTAGCACACCTCCACTTCAAATCCAACTGTTTGGCGATCCACGCTGGGATTCACCTGATCATCAGAGATCTCTGCAGCCCCCCAGCCTCTCCGAAAACCCCCTCTCGAATCCCACGCATTCAGAAATCCCGCCCTGGTTCTCCCACATCCTCCCCGTGAAATCCTCATCGCAATAAACATCCGTGCAAAGCGCGTACACAACCGAAGCCCCTACCCCAACCTTCATCTTTTCCCCAGATACATACCCCTTCCCCCCCCCCCCTCCTCCTCTCGGCATCAACCCCACCCTTCCCCAGCCAACAACCCATAAGACATCCTCCATCCTCCATGCTCCTCAATCATCCATACCATATCCTACCCCACCCGCGCTCCTCTCGCTCCGGACGTAGATGTACCCACAGCGAGAGAGGTAGCTAGCTGGCTCTACAACCCTACGGACAGCTGGCATATATTTCGCAGCCGGGCAGATGACCAACCCGCTAGCCGCCTTCTTCGCGATAGGTCATGTACCGCCGCGGGCAGAGCAGGAGCAGAATAGGAGAGGGGAAGAGTGAGATGAGAGAAGCATGAGGCCGAATAGACAGCTATTGACCGAAGGAGTCGAGTCAGAGAAGAAGAAGAAGAAGGCAGTGAAGACTCTAGCGAGGCTGGTGGGTCTATTGATAGGTCTTATAGGGGGTTTTTTTAAAAAAAAATTAAATTTTAAAAATTAAAAATTGGTCAAGTCATGTATTATAAACACCTTGCCTGATGGGGTACCTGCTATAGCTATTAGGGCTATACTAGACGGACCCATCTTCTATAAGAGGGCATACATCTTTTAGTTAAAACAATTAACGAGCTTTTTATTTACTTTTTTTAACACTTCTTTTATAAGATTATAAGGTCTAGCTTTAAAGCTAAGCTTTTGTATAGCATATCTTTTTAAGTGCTTTTATATTAATAACTTACGCAAGGATTCAAACCTTTAGTCTTTGTTTTTATACAGCTTATCATAATCGCTTGATTCGCAATCAAGTTGATCTTCGTTTATTTAGCATTTTATTTTATAATTATAACTTTAAAATAATTAAAACTTTATTCTCGATAGGTTCGGATATCGAAACGCCGAAATAGCCGAAGTATAATATTTCGGCTCTTTAATAAAAACTTTCTTTTATTGTTAATAAAAAAGAATTTTCACTTATTAATGAAAATACTTTTTTATACTTTAGCTTTTATTTTGAATTAAAGCAATTAATATAGTCCGGAGTTATTAACGAAGCTAATCAATTGATTCTTAAGTTTTTTATAATTTTAATCTTAATTATTAGTTTACTTTTGCATAAGGTTTACTCTTTTTAATTTCGGATCGAAAATACTTTGCGAAAATCGCTTATTTTATCCGTGAACTCGATTTACGAGTTAAAATTAAATAATTTAAAAACCTTTTATTAACTCGATCTTTTTTAATATATATATATGTTTGATTTTTAAAATACCGAAAACCTTCTTAAGATTTTTAATATCGAAGTCGGCGCAAAGTCATTTTTTTTTTCGTTAAAATCTTTTAAATTTATTAAATCTTTTAATCGTATTTTTATAAGCTTCGGATTATCTTTATCTTACTTCGATTTTTAATTTAAACTTTTACCGCTACTTCTATCGAAAACACTTGCTTCGGAAATGCTTTTTAAAATGAACACCGGTCTTAAGATTTATACTACTTTTTTTCTTTTTATTCTTTTTATCTTTTTATTAAGCTTTGCGCTAATTATAATCGACCTTGCTATTTTTTACGCTTTTATAACTACTCGCATGCTATTGCTAAGTGCTTTAAAAGCTTTTTGCTTTAATAATGTTAATATCATCGACTTTATCGAAAAGTACGAAAAGACTTATAATGACTTTAATATTTTTAAAGATGATCGGTTTATTAAGCTCTTTCGTTATTACGATAACTTTCGCAAAAAGGTTATTAAAAGCTTGCTCGAATAGAAAGTTAAAAAAGATTAAGCTGCTTTCGTTAAGGCTTTAAAAGCCGAGTTTCGTAAAAATGATACTTAGCAGATTAAAGACTTAATCGCTTTCTTACGGGAATTTACTATATAAAAACGAAATATTAATAATTTAAAAAACTATTATCGCACTTTCTTTCGAGTCTTCGAAAAGCTTATTTTAATACACTTTTTAAGCAAGATCGAACAAAGCCGCTTATTCTTTTTCGAATTGCTCGTCGGAATCCGAAATAAAACGATTAAGTATTATAAAGTCGACGAACTCGACTTAAACTCTTATGCCGCTTTCGACGACTTCGCTGCATTCGCTTTTAAAACCGATTAAAGTATTAAGACTATCGAAGTTATAAATTGAAAAAAGTCTTTTTTAGCTAACTTTATTAAAGATATTCGGACTTTGATTAAAAAATATACCGAACTAGTTAGTGTTCTTAAGTCTATTAAAAAAGCTTTAATAATAATGCCGTTCACTCGTGAACTACGGTTTACGAGTAAAAAAAAAGAAATTGATAAAGTAAGTTTTATAATTAAGAAGTTTTTTAACTTATAAATTAATGCAATTTATAATCGAATTAATTATTTCGAAGATTAAGTCGTTAACTTAATTTCTCGACGTTTTGTTTAATCTTAACTTTAAGTTCGATTCGAAGACCGCGACGAAGCTTTTATTAAGTATACCGTTTAAAATGCTCGAAGTAAAGTCAGCTTCGAAAGTAAAGTTTAAATTGCTACTATCGGCTACGAATTATAAAGACGAAGAAAAAGAAAAAGTAAAAGATACGAGAACTAGATATAAGATTATAGCTTTTGCAAGAACTTTAAAAATACAACTTAAGCTTTTTATTAATACCGAGATAAATATAAAGCTTTTAAAAACATAATTAATAAAGGATGTATTTATATTAATGATTACGAACGCTTTTGCTTAAAGCTTAAAAAGATCAGCGCTTTTATTATTTAAAAGAAGCAAAAAAAGATTTAATTTAAATTTATCGTTTTAAACGTTCGTAAAACGAAATACAATAACATTTTAAAAAATCGATTTACTAGCGGACTTAAGACTTATAAACACTTGCTTTTTTATTAATAATTAATTTAATAGCTAGCTTAATATTAGCTCGATTAAAATGCTTAGCAATCAATTAATTAATTAAAAGAGCTTATTATTATTTTTAAAAGACTAATCGATATTAAGAATATTAATGCTATAAAGTGGATTAATACGTTTAACTATTTATCTAGTATAAAGATTGCTTCGGTCGAAATCAACGCTGCTATAAAAGATAAAGCTAAGAAGTCTTTTTTACTTTCGAAAGGATTTAAGCTTATTAAGATTAAAAAGAATGTCCGATAATAAAAAGAAAAGAATTACGGCACTTTTAAAGCTCGTGCTTCTTAAGAATCGAGTACTATTATAAAGATAAACTTGAAAGATAAGTTGTTCGATAATATAATTAAAAAAAAGTCTTTTAAACTTTTTAAATTAATTAAAGCCGACGAAGCTATAAAAGATATAAAAAGAAAAGTTAAGATCATTTAGCGAGTGTTAAAAGAAAAGAAGAAGAAGACTTATAAACGAAAAAAGTTTATTAACTTTTACGTTATTATTAAAGCTTAAGAAAAAGCAATAACGGCGATTATAAAATCAAGAATCGAAGTCTAGATTAAAGACTTATTCGGACTTAGCTTTCGCTTCGACAAGCTATTAAGCTATTACATTTTAATAATTCTCGATATTAAAAAAAACGTAAAAGTCTTTTAAAGTAAGTTTATTCTTATAAACGCTTTAATTATTAAACGTTTAAGTCGGAATGAAGAAAGCAAGCTAAACCTTTTAACGACGCAAATTCGCAAATAACTTATCGCTTGTAACTGCTTCGAAGTAGCGATAAAGACTTTAAAAGTTTTTATTAATATCGACGGTATAATTAAGAGCAGATCCTTTTTTAATAACGGATCTAAAGTCAACGTAATAAATAAAAAGATAGCTAAGATAGCTAAACTACTTATTATAATAAATCGA